ACCTAGACGATTACCCCTGGCCAAAAAGGAAGAAGCAGAGCGAATAATCCACGAAATGCAGGAGACCGGCATAATTGAGCCATCCTCAAGTCCATGGACATCACCGGTAGTATTGGTAAAGAAGAAGGATGGAACAACCCGTTTTTGTGTGGATTACCGCCAGCTCAACAACGTAACTAAGAAAGATAGTTATCCACTACCACGGATTGATGACACCTTGGATATGCTTTCTGGTTCGAAAATGTTTTCCACACTCGACTTGAAGAGCGGATACTGGCAAGTTGCTTTAGATGCTGCCGACAAGGAAAAGACCGCATTCTCGATCGACACGGGCCTTTGGCAGTTTACAGTTATGTCTTTTGGTTTATGCAATGCTCCGGCGACGTTCGAAAGGTTGATGGAGAAAATCTTGAGTGATCAAATTGAAAAGACCTGCTTGGTATACTTGGATGACATCATAGTGATTGGAAGCACCTTTAATGAAAACCTGCAGAATTTGTAAGCTGTATTCCAGCAGTTACGTGAGGCCAATTTGAAACTCGGTCCGAAAAAGTGCCACCTTTTCTGCGAAGAAGTTTCTTACTTGGGATATGTTGTATCAGCGAACGGCGTAGCTGTGGATCCAGAGAAGATAAAGGCCGTAAAGGAATGGCCAGTGCCTGAAAACGTCCATGACATAAGAAGCTTCTTGGGACTGGGACCGCTATTCAATTTTAGTTAAGCCATTACCTAATATTAAAAGATCGTCCACATATAGTAATATGAAAATGTTTTCTTTATAGTATAAACAATAATCACTTTGAGATCTCATAAAACCTTGACTCTTCATAAATTCCGAAAACTTTGCGTAAGTACCATTTTTTGCCTGATTTTTTAAAACCATGTAAAGGGTTAATCAATTTTAATGCATAGTCTGATTTTATTATTATCCCTGGTGGAGGTTTCAAATATACTGTTTCGTCAATATCTCCATTTAGAAATGCTTTCTTCACATCCATTTGGTGTATGTGATAATTTCTTTGTAGTGATATTGTTAATAAAATTCTTAAAGTTTGTAGTTTCAATACTGGTGATCATATATCTGATAATTCTTCATTCTGTTGAAATCCTTTAGCTATTAACCGGGTTTTGAATATTATTTTATTGCATACATCCTTTTTATTAAACATCCACTTGCATTCTATCAATTTAATGTCCGGTGGCGGTTTCGTTATTTCGAAAGTTTTATTTTCATTCAATAAATTCAATTCATCTTTCATTGCACCGTACCATTTATCTTTGTCATGACAGAATTGAATATCCTCATATTTGTTTGGCAAAACATCTTCAAAATCGGAAGTACATACTGCCAAAAACACATTCTCATCAATTGCATTAAGGTCCGTAATATAATCATTAAGATTAAGATGGTTTTCTACTTTTCCGTTTATTGTCTATTTCAGGTAAATTTTCAATTTCGTTTTCTACGTCTTCTGATTGTTGGTTTAATTCTATATTTGTCACCTTTTGTTCATGATTCTGTAATAATATTTTTTGTTTCTTTTCTTCTAATGTCGGATTACTGGTTTCCTGTAATTCTATTTTCATATCATTTCATATTATCATTAAACTTTATGTTTCTTTCAATAATAATAGTTTTTCTTTCTTCATCCCATAAATTATAACCACATCTAGCATAATTCATAAAAATCAACTTTCTTCCAGTTGGATCAAGAGAGGTATCTCTGCTGTTTTGGTATATGAGCGTATGCCACACTACCAAAAACTCCTAAATTTCTTCCCTCCCACATTTCGTATGGAGTTACATTGAACGCTGGTGTTGGACTGTTAGTTATATATACCGAAAAATATATTGCCTCTCTCCATAGTTCTTTAACCTTATCTATAAGTGTTCTATTTAATCTCTCTGCTACACCGTTCATTTCTGGATTATAAGGAACTGTATATTGCATTATTATTTCATGNCATTTTTACGAAAACCACAGAGGCGTCTTGTTCAGCGTGCTGTCAAACCTACACTAGCAAGGAGATCGGGCTGAAACTATAGCTACAAGCTATCCAAGGATGGTACTATAGAATGTCACCCCAAGGTAGGCCTAGTGGCGTCATCTCTTGGTTAGGCCGGAAACTTATCAATCCACCCTCGTATAAGTGTTCTATTTAATCTCTCTGCTACACCGTTCATTTCTGGATTATAAGGAACTGTATATTGCATTATTATTTCATGATCACGACAAAATGATTTGAATTCTTTACTTATGCATTCGCCTCCATTATCCGAAAGTAATTTTTTGAAATTTCTACTAAAATGTTTCGTTGCATAATTATAGTAGGCTTTAAATTTTTAAAAAACTTCAGACTTATTATTAATTAAATAAACAACTGCATGATGTGTGTAATCATCAAGTGTAACAAGCGTGGGTGTGAGTGTAACATCGCATGGATGTCGCTTGTTTTTTAACGAGCTATTTTGATGGAAATACTAAATCACCCGTTTCGAGTTCAAAAGAGGTCAAAACTAAATGTGAAAACATTGGAACCAAACAGGCTAACATGGAGGAAAAGCTCTCGAACCTGGAAACAGATGTTGTTGATCTCAAAACTCGTCCTCAAAACTCCAAACCTTTTTTACAGGAAGTCTCTGAACGTCAGCATCTCAGTTACAATGTCTTTGTATACGGTATCCGTGAGCCTGCTGGCGATGCTGACTCCAGGAAAAACCACGACACAGAGCGACTTGTTGAGGCCCTAAACATCCCGTTTAACCGCGATGACATCTCACACGTTCTTCTACTCGGCAAAATCAAGGATAACCAGACAGACCAAGACCCCTGAGACTTGTTCTGAATAGACCTGATATTTCGCGGTTCTTCGTAAACAACTCCAGGTAGCTGCCAGAGGGAATCAGGGCTAGCCCTGACTACACCCCCATGCAGCTCTCTCAGGAACTCTCACTCCTCCGCGCCGAATTAAGGGAGAAAAACAAAAATGACCCTGATTGGGCTCTCGGGAAACGGCAAAAGGCAGTAGCAAATCCACCAACCTCAATCGCAGATATCAAGTTTTTCTACACCAATACAGCATCTCTGAGCCAAATTCGATGAGCTTACATTGGAAGTCCGTGCAACGGCCCCCCACATCATCATTATTACTGAGATATGACTGCAGGAAGAAATTCCAGACACAATGGTACAGATACCGGGTTTCTCCATCCACCGCCGAGACCGTCTTGATGGGACCCATAGAGGTGTGATCATCGATGCTGCACATCAGATAGATGGCATCCCACTCCATACTGTCCGCAGGACACACCTGGAACGCCACCCTGTCGAGGCTCTCTGGCTGGACTTCTCTCTGGGACTTCTTCACTTCACACTGGGCGGAGTTTACCGACCCCCTCGTCCAGAATTGGGTCTACAGGAATCCGATAACCTGCTCTTCGCTACTATTGAACGTCTCTCAAATGAAAACTCTCCCTTGGTTGTGTTCGGCGACTTCAACTTGCCAACGATAACGTGGGCCGAAAGCATCATCACTACGGGTGCTGTGGTGGAACGTGCCTTCTTGGAAATGTACACTCGCACCAACCTGGTGCAGAAGGTAACCTTCCCAACCAGACATAGACGGCAACAGACACCCTCAATCCTAGACCTTATCCTTACTAATGACGCCGACTTTATTGCCGCGCCTATTTCACGCTGGCCCTTGAGTTGCATTGACCACGATATCCTCCACACACACACCCAAGTGGACGTACTAACACCGGCTTCTCAGACTCGTCCATGTTACCACAAATCGAAGTACGACGTTATCAGGGAATCGCTGGTAAATCAACGAACACTGCTAAACAACCCCCCTTCCTATCGAATAACGCACACTCACTCTAGTCGCAATACCACAACAACTCCATAGCTCTTCTCCAGGCACACATTCCTCTAAACAGAACTCTTGTCAATCCGGACAAAACCTGGTTTGACCACTCCATTAGGAAACTTGCACGCCAAAAACTAAGAACATGGAAGCGATACAAGACCACTGGTTTCGACTGCGACTACTCATCACACAGAACCATCACAAAGTAGTTAACTCGTCTTATTAGGGATAGAAGGAGGAATTACGAGAGGCACATAATTAGCACTGGAGGAAAATGTTTTCACTCCTGGGTTCGATGCCACTGCAGCTCCAGGTCAGATGCCTCGAAGGTGATCAAAACCTCAACCGGCCTACTGGCCACCGACCAGGCTTCCATTGCTGAAACCTTTGTGGATGAATTTCAAAAGGTCTATACTCTTGAACCCCCACTGACCCCGGAACAACAGCTACTGCCTTCAGACGGGCCCACCGCCGCCCTGGAGGACACATACTTTTCCATCATAGAAGTGGGCCAGACTCTCTGCAGTCTAAGCCTGGTGGCCTGTGTCACTTCTGGTGTCCTTCTGGAGGATTGGAAAGAGGCTCTTGTCACTCCCATCTTCAAGAAGGGTGACCAGACGGATCCTATCAACTACCGTCCGATCAGCCTTACAAGCCCAGTCGGTAAGGTCATGGAGCGAATAGTGGTGCGCCAGATGCTAGACTTCATTACCGAGCGCAGGTTGGTACCGGATCAACAGCATGACTTTCTCCTTGGCAAACCTCCTCTCCTCCGTTAACAACTGGTCTAGGGCCTTTTCCAAGGCTTTCGACAACCGCTTGATTGTAAATCTGCAACGTCTGAGCATTAGGGGGAAACTCTTAGCCTGGATCCGAAGCTATCTCAACGGTAGGTCCTTCAGAGTGAGAGTAGGTAAGGCTGTCTCTTTTCCACGGATGTTTCTTAGTGGTGTTCCTCAAGGGTCGGTCCTCGGCCCACTCTTGTTTGTCCTTTACACGATTGACATTGGAAGGGATTTCACCTGCAGATGGAATGCGTATGCTGATGACACGATGCTCTTTGCTGACCCGGTACTGTCTCACCAACAACTACAGGTAGACTTACACCTTGTGCTGAAATGGTCTGAGAAATGGCTCATTCCCCTCAACCAGGCATAGTGTTGGGTCCTACACATCAGCAAGAAGAAAAACTCTCCAGTAACCTACTTCTTGGGAAACACCAGGATTGAAACCACGAGCTCGCAATTGGATCTTGGTGTTGTCATTACTGAAAACCTCAAGCGGGACCAGCAAGTTCGTGTAGACGCTAGAAAGGCCAACCGCTAGTCTCACCTAATCTTGAAGGCTTTCTCCACAATAGACTGTGAACTTACGAAATCCATCATGGTGATGTATCTTCGCCCCATACTGGAATATGTGAGCCCAGTCTGGTCCCTATATTATAAGAAGGATATTGACCACTTGGAGAGAACGCAAAGAAAGCTGTCAAAACGCCCCCGCAACATACACCACCTGGACTACAAGCAGCGCTGTACCATCATTGGCAGTGAAATCTACACAACACCTTAGGTAGATGGTGTCGAGTCTGCTGTTCCCAACCTTAGGTTTCGTGGGCACTCTCTACGACTTAGGAAAGAGAGAACGAGGACTGATGTGCGTGCTCACTTCCTCTCTAATCGAGTTGCCAACAGCTGGAACTAGCTTCCCACCGAATGTGTCACTTCTGGAACTCTCTTTACTTTTCGATCTCGACTAGACTACACACCTTTTTGAAACTCTCCATAACAGTCGTCTCTTATTCCAAACTTTTTTTCTTTTTCTATACTTAAACTATTTTCACTACTGATATTTACATTTTCATTTATGTTAATTCATACTTTTGTATACACTTTCTATGCAATTATTCACTTTCAATTGTAATATATGTATTATCAGCTTTGCTGCATTTGGATTGATATTCTCTCAACCCTCAACCAAATTATTTTTGCATAAAATTTTCACGTTTTCAAACGATAAATGTGCAAACCTAGAGAAATTAATTACGTTTTCTCTCAAAACCCGACACCTCTAAAATTCACAGTTTTTTANTTTGATGTATAGATGGCAGTGAAATTCGAAGTTTTCTTTGCCAATACCATTTATATATATATTTCAAGTATCGTCTACTAATGTGGGGTAAACTTAGATGTCACTACTATCGTCCAAATCTCGAGAGTTTTACATCTATTTACCTAGTCTAGGGGTGCGAAGGTAGTCGTTAAGAAGTCACGGGAAGAAGAGTAGTCGTCCATTGTCTGATGAGCGTCGCATATAGTTTGTCTGTGCATATCAGTTAACTAGTCACCCTTACATATAAGTCTTTAGTTATTCCACCCATACTGTACAAATTGTAAATAAAGTGTAAATAAGAACTGTCGTCGTAAGTCGTTACTTTAGCCCATAATAATAAACATAACAGTTTGGCAACGAGGATTCGTTCCAATCGCGTGGTAGCTTCAACAAAGAAACCGTGAGTGTCGGCTTTCCTGTTATAAGTAGTATCGGTCATAAAGTCAATCGACAGCGTATTATCAGTTAATCATCCAGTCATTCAAAAATAGATCGATCATCCTTTGTCTCACCACCCAAGCGTCGTTTCAAAAAACAAAATGGTGGACATCGCAAATGGAAATGGTGTGGAAGCTACGGTCAGCAACGTGGTATTTCAACCCATATTTTCATTGTTAAGGCATTTTCAACCTAACGAAACATCGTTCTCCAGTTGGCTGGAACTTTTTGAGGAATTCTGTCTAATCAATGGGATAGAAGAGGAACCGTCACATTTAGAGGGCCAGCAAGTTCCACCACACAACCAAAAAAGGGCACTATTTCTATTTTATATAGGTTCGAGAACGTACCAAAATTTACATACAAGCTGCCTTCCTCAGAAACCACGAGAAAAGTCATTATCACAATTGGTAAAAATAATAAAAGACAGGTATGAGCCACGTAGTCTCTTAGCAACATGTAGGTACAATCTTAACCAAAGAATTCAGAAAGACAATGAGTCTGCCACAGATTATATTGATGCTATTATGGAACTTGCAATTCCGTGTGAGTATGGGGATCACCTAGATGATACGCTAAGGGATAGAATTATAGTGGGCATTAAATGTAATAACACTCGAAAAAAATTACTCAGTACTCCAAACCTTACATTTCAAATGGCAAAACAAATCATTATTCAAAATGAAGCAATTCAAGTACAGTCTCGTATGTTAGCTAGGGCGCTTCCAGTGAATAACATCCAGCAGAACAATGTCCAGATTAGAAGAAATCAAAACATTCCAGGAAACTGCTCCTATGGTCAACAACATTTCAGTCGCCAACCTAACTATACTTAGTCGGGTTGGGTGCAGTCCTTGCTCATGAAATAAGAATTCATAACAAATTATATGAAAAACCAGTGATGTTTGCGTCATGCTCCCTTACTAAAAGTCAAAAAAATTATTCCCATCTGGATAGGGAAGGTCTGGCCATAATCACAAAGTTTAGGAAATTCTTATGGGGACGCAAATTTACCATTATTACGGACAATGCTCCAATCAAACACATATTAAATCCAGATAAGTCCATAGCAATTTTGGCCAGCCACCGATTACAACTTTGGTCTGCAATATTGGAAGCTCACAAATACAGTATTGTGCATCGAAAGAGTGAATTACTGTCAGCACCTGACGCTTTATCACGATTACCTACAATGCCCACGATGGAGGATATTATATGCACGGTAGAAATCCAAACATTACCGTTAAGTGTGTGCGATATAAAACAGAAGACGGCTGAAGACACAGTTTTATCCATAGTTTTAGAAAAAACACGCATTGGATGGCCACGGCGAAACCTAGACCCAGCACTATAGGCATTCTTTAAAGTTAAGGATTAGCTGTCCATAGAAGATAAGTATCTATTATTCAATAATAGAGTGGTGATAGCAGCCTCCCTGCAAGGAGAAATATTGAAAATGCTACATGAGGGACATCCGGGAATTGTGCGAACAAAACTCCTAGCCCGTTCATGTGTCTGGTGGCCTCAAATGAACAGTGATATCGAGACCTTCTGTAAACAGTGTGATTCATGTTCAAAAGTCAATTTTAAACATGAAACTGCCACCGCACCATGGCCAAAAACGTCTGCTCCTTTCCAAAGAATTTACGTTGACTTCTACATTATTTGTGATGCGTATTCCAAGTGGATAACTGTGATTCCAATGTCCATGTATACAGCCATTAATATTACCACTGAAATTCTAAATTTAATTGCATATTTTGGTATTCCAGAGAGCATAATGAACGATAATGGACCGCTATTTGACTCCCAAGCATACTATAAGTTCTGTACAGCCTATAATATCACAATATTACATTCACCACCGTTCCACCCGCAAAGCAATGGACTAGCTGAAAGAGGAGTACAGACATGTAAAAAGGCAATTAAAAAAAATAATGGAAGATCTGCAAAACTCGATAATGTCAACCTCAGATATACAAAGAAGTACGTTATTCGCGAAGATAACAACATTTCTATTCAATTACAGAAACACCGAACGAATTTTTACTAGCATATAAACCAAAAACTTTATTATCATTAATAATGCCAAAACAACCTGGACAAACTACAACACTATTTAGAGAAGGCGATAAGGTTCACCTACCCATTGGAAAGACACCATTAATTTCAGGAACTGTAATCAAACCTTTAAGTGCTACCAGATATTTGGTGTCTGTACAAGGTGTTTTAAAACAGCCACATGTGAACCAAATGTCACACGCAGTCAACTAGCAAATGTAAACTGTCTTTATATGTTTACCTTTAGGAAGTTTTACTATGTTTTATTGTATTTTTTTTTCATTGTGCCGAGGGGAGGATGTTGTGTATGTTATTCTATATATGTATATTCTATAGTTAGTCTCTATGGTTAGATGTTATAGAGTTAGTGATTAGTCATGAGTACAGGAGGCGCGAAGGTAGTCGTTAAGAAGTCACGAAGAAGAGTAGTTGTCCATTGTCTGAAGAGCGTCGCATATAGTTTGTCTGTGCATATCAGTTAGCTTAGTCACCGTTACATATAAGTCTTTAGTTATTCTACCCAAATTGTAAATAAAGTGTAAGTAAGAACTGTCGTCGTAAGTCGTTACTTTAGCCCATAATAACAAACATAACAGTGTAGTGTTTATATCATAGATAGTCATATTCTTTGAGTACATTTTGAACAGTTTTAATTATAAACACAGAGAATGAACTGCGCATTCTCTATCTAGCTATAAGGTACTGATAAGAAGTAAATATGCAAATGTCATCATGATAACCCCTCCTACTGGAGTAATAAAGTATAAACACTTTGGTTCCCTTATTTGGGACAGTCTTAATGTTTATTTCTCCTAATGTAAGTTCGTTATTTAACAATAAAGTTTTTAATTAAAATAGTGTTTGTTACTGCTTCTTCGAAGTTCCACTAATTAATATACCAAGTGAAGAACATTGAGTCTCCCTTTTGACTAAGTAAGTACAAGAGTGATTATTCTGCTAAGTGAGGGAACGACCTCGTAGAATTATCCATCTTTTATGAGTATTTGAAATTGAAACATGTAGTTATCCAACAACGAAATCAGTGTTTTGTTTCCTTACTGATTTCAACTATATTACATTGCCGCAGTCAGTAGGATCTTCGAAATTAAAAAGAAGATCCAAAGAACAAATGGTCATCGCACTTGAAGTGAAAGCTGTGATTTCCCCCTGGCTAATTGTGTTATTTATTTATTGTATAGTGAGTCCAAAATGAAAAGCCTCTTTCTTCTTATATATAATATATTAACGAGAATACAATTTAACCGTAGAATAAACACTTATAATCCATTTTACTATTACAGAACTATATTATCATTTTCTATACTATTTTAGCGATCGGGCACATGTGTGCGTAAACGGCTTATCGATACGCCGACTAGCCGCGGGCGCCTTTCTCATGTGCACCGTATTTCTAAATGAATGTGTCGTACCTGCGTTCTAGGAAAGCAGCTAACCAGTTCAAAGAAAAAAGTAAACTATCCGGAAGGTTCCCGAAAGTATACAAAAGAGTATTTAAAAGAAGAGATGATCGCCGAGAGAAGAAGAAATAAATTGACCGTTGCAGAAGTGAATCGAGAATCAACAGTAGAGTAAATAAATAGAATAATCCATAACATAAGTTTAGTAATAATTTAATAGTGTTTTTAACTTCTATAATAATTAGTGTAAATAAATAGTTTTTGTCGTTATCAGTCTTAGAAGTTTTTTAGAAGAACTTT